TCTGGTGGACAAAGGAATACGTTGGCTCAAGTATTGATGTATAATTCGTGAGACGCAGTTTATCAGTCAAATATAACTCTGCCGCGAGCAAAGGAATACGTTGGCTCGTGTATTGATGTATGATTCAGTGAGATGATGTTTATTCAAATATAACTGCCGCGGGCAAGCGGCCAAGCGCTTTTACTCTTCTGGTGGACAAAGGAATACCTTGGCTCAAGTATCGATGTGTGATTCAGTGAGACGCAGTCTATTCAAGTATAACTCTACCGTGGTCAAGCGCTTTTATCTTTCTGGTGGACAAAGGAATACGTTGGCTCAACCGATGAAGTTAAATGAAGCCGCCGCTAGGGGAATTATAACAAGATCGAGAGGCCATACACGAATTCAACAAGTGTCATTTGATATCATTCGTATATCAATGTATATGTATGCACATGCATTTGGTGCGTAAGTATGCGGTGAATTCACACGTTTGCTTCGTATTTCGCTTTTCAAACCAACCAACTTCCTCTATTTTATCACAGAATTCGGGAATAGTAATTGTCGAACGCCAAATGTATCGACTATTCACGCTAAATCGATCTGTATTTCAATTTCGATTTCAATGTCAATTTTATTACCATCTTGAGGTTATTAATTAACCGGCCAGATTGGGCCTCTGATTCGGGGATTGGGTTTCAATAAAGCGTCACATTAAACTGTATTCAATCATTAAAATGTAGATTATATAAAACTTCCTTTCTAGCTATTTCAGGGCACTCTTTAATAAAACAAACACTAATTTGGCCCGTATACATTATCAATACCTTACTGGGCACAACATAGGAAATCAAGTTCATGTGTGAGAGAAATTTAGGATCTACTTTATCTACATTTGCGATAAATCGGCAAGTTGGATATGTCATGAAAGATTGGTTACTCATGAAAATTCATTAATGTCTTATCACTATACTGCATGATCTTTTTAGTCTACATATTCTTACAATTTCTGCTACTCTCATACATGCATGATTGCATGTTCAAACAGTTCAATCACAACGCTGTGGTTATAAACACCTGAATTGCATTTTGATCCTGCTATTTTAGAATATTGAACAAGCTATTTTTCCTGAGATTAAAGTCATATAATTCGAGAATTATATTATGTCAAGTTCCGCCAATCATAATCCAAATAAAATAAGTGGGGTTAACAAATACATGTTGCAAAATTCCTATCGAACACATTGACATTAAAAAATAAATAAATCGTAAGGAAAACAAAAAAAAATAAAAAATGATGGTGAGCTTTGTCTGTCGTGTTACCAACCCTCCAATCAAGCACCTGTAAGATAGAAGCTTTGTGGGGAAGCTACTGGTTGTCTTGGCCCCATCCAGGTTTCCTGTAAAGATATTGCAGGTTTTTCCTGGCCTCCCTGACGTTCCAGCTGTAGTATGAGTGATGGTAATGCTCAAATATATGTCTTACGATCAACTTGTAGTTTAAAAAAAAAAATAAAAAATTCTATTTGCATATAACATGATTTTAATCAATTAATTATTTGAAGTGTGTCGAAAGACAAATATAGACGACATGTCTTCAAAAAGCACAAAGATCATCTGTCTTCTATACGATTACAGTTGTGGTGGGGGTTGGGTTTTTTTTTCGTCTATGGGGAATACACATGCTGTGTATTTGTGGGGATGGAGTGCTCCCAAAGGTCACCCTCAACCCCATAGACTCACACAAATCAATGTATTATACAGTGTATTGTATAGTAAACAATGACCATCACGGGGATCTACTACCCCTTGGACATTAAAGTAAACAATGACCATCACGGGGATCTACTACCCCTTGGACATTTAGGATGCCCATCTCGGGGATCTACTACCCCTTGGGTAAAGTCCAACATGGGAGAACTACGACCCCCTGAGGACATATAATTTTATCATAATCATATTGCTGTAATAGTGAGTCTGTGGGGCGACACTTTGGCCACAGTTTAAAGCATAATCGGAGCATTTCTCCTCGACAACCCTTCTCCCACAACATTGTGTGTGTCATAGTGGTTTTCTTAATTGTCTTAGAATATTTGCTTAACGAATTGATGCATTAAATCAAGTTTATACATGCCCATAGCATTATAAACTTCGGTTAATGAAACAAGCGTTAGGACAAGAGTAAAGTTGTGCAAAGTCTCCTGGAGTACAAAGGTCTGGTACAAAGGTCAATCTGTGAATCGTGTGATCATACACGTGCAAAGCGCAAGGCTGAATTAACAACAAACCATTGTCAAATCTCTTCCCATGCGTGCGGGAAAACAGACCAATCAGGTTTCACCTCTCCGTCTGCATAGTTTCCTGCTTGGATCAGTAAGCCTCATTGTGTCACTTGCAAGCAAAATTGTATGATCTCTGTGGCAAAGTACTTCAAAATTACCACCCATCCCACCCTTCAAGGATTTTGCACCACTATATCATAACTTGTATCACATAATAAATAAAGATCTGTAAAATATTGTTTTGATATGCAATCCGTGATCAAGATTCACATGAAATGCAATTCATGTAGTGTTATAGATAAAGTATTATGGAGTAGTTTACTGGTTAATATGTTATTACAGGCACATCTATATTTTGTAATATACAGTATTGGAATTGACTTTGCAAGTCTGGTTGTAAAAAGAAAAATATTTGGTTGTTTGGGGATGGAGTGCTCCCAAAGGTCACCCTCAACCCCATAGACTCACACAAATCAATGTATTATACAGTGTATTGTAAAGTAAACAATGACCATCACGGGGATCTACTACCCCTTGGACATTAAAGTAAACAATGACCATCACGGGAATCTACTACCCCTTGGACATTAAAGTAAACAATGACCATCACGGGGATCTACTACCCCTTGGACATTTAAGATGCCCATCTCGGGGATCTACTACCCCTTGGGTAAAGTCCAACATGGGGGAACCACAACCCCCTGAGGACATATAATTATATCATAATCATATTGCTGTAATAGTGAGTCTGTGGGGCGACACTTTGGCCACAATTTAAAGTATAATCGGAGCATTTCTCCTCGACAACCCTTCTCCCACAACATTGTGTGTGTCATAGTTGTTTTCTTAATTGTCCTAGAATATTTGCTTAACGAATTGGTGCATTAAACGCCGATAAAAAAAACATAACCTGGCAGGGGTATTGATGATGCCAGTACCGAGGCCTCGCCAGTGAGCTCCATATATACTGGAGCGAGAACTTGCGTCCAAAAAGTGAAGCCAGCTTCGTGTTAACCGCGCAGACAAAAACAATAGAAAGGGACTGGAACTGATGTCCTATAGCTCCTTCAATTTCCGCCATCGTTGCAAGGAGTGTGCCGAAATTTCGTATTTTGACTTCAATTTAAAGACTAATGGTATGATTTTATGAACTGAAACTTGATTAGCGATGCGGTCCGTTAGAAAAACTGGAATTAGCTGGGAAAAATGGTATAAAAACTGTTTACGACCTTCAGAGCTATTGGACGTTAATGGCCGCCATCGTAGCTTCACTTTTCTCATAGGCCGAATGACTGAAGCTCTTGCTCCAGATATATTATAGAGCTCACTGGGCATCGCACATTTAATACGTATACCTTCCATGTTGATATTCACATCACATGTTATATCAAATGTATTGCTGGCACTTGTGTGAGTGTAGACATATTGCACGGTGTGGTCTCCTTCCGTAAACAAACCCGCAGGCTCTGGTACCGGTCGCTTTGGTTCTGCTGGACATGTCGGTTCTGGTATTTTCCAACTGGCTAGACCTTGGGTTCTAGATGGTCTTATTACTCCATTAACGGTTTGAGTTGGGCACTCACAAGCTAAATGAAAGAAATGACATAGAGATAGACATTATTCAGCAGCTCCCTGCTTGGTATGTAGATATTCATTGACTTACCTAAAACGTCTATTGACACGTTACAGCGTCGGGTCCTTAGCTTAGCACCATCTTGATACGTAAAGCTATAAATAATCTCATGCAGACCTTCTGTTAATCTTTGGCCAGGTTTGGAACAATTATGGCTGATCGTCGTTTCCAAAATGGCTGGTTGACGGGTTGTACATGTAAGGGTTGGTTGTAACCACTCGACAATAGCGTCTCGTCCTTTCTTGGTATAGGCCTTTGTATTCAGTTCATCACAGCCACATTCTCCTGCAAAGAAGATTGGATGCCAGGGATGAATTTAAACACTTTTGTGTACGGATGTACGACAGTGAATCTCAATCTTCAGTTGAGTTTGGAAACTCAATCTTTCTCCGTAGATATATTTTTCACAATATACTTTGAGGAATATGGGGCAAATGGCAATAATTAATATTGTAAAAGGAAGAAAGTACTTGAACATTGCTTTACATTGTTCAACACGCCATTATAAAAGCCTGTTCTAAAACTGTTATGTTTTTGCTCAAAAGTGCTGTCTGCATGTGGGAAATGTTATTCCTTAACGACAAAATGGCATTTTGGTGGAAAAACTAAAACTAGTGAAAAAGTTTACCCTGAAGGCTTAAAAGCTCAAATTAATCCCCGAGCCGACGGCGCGAAGCGCCGTGCGAGGGTAATTTCCCCCGGCTATTTACACCCGGGGGAAACGAAAGCATTAGCGAAGTCTAAAGTTCATCAATTATCGCGGGCGTGGGTGACCAACGATGGGTGGTCATCCTCACTGATCTCAAAAATATGGCGGACTGTCATGAATAGCGGACACTGGTTGGTCCAATTTAACGTTAGCATTATAACGACCGCATGACGACAGCGAAATAGCAAACATTTCTTGATTTGATGATTGATAAATTTCTCGCAAATATATTTAATTTGTGCTCGCATTTTTGCAAGATTTTGTAAATTTCAAGAAAGAAAGAAAGAAAGGGCGAAAGAATCGGTTAAAGGAAGGGAGGCGACGTTAACGAAGGTAAGTTTGTTTTAAATATTGATTTTATAATGGCTTTAAAACCCGACGGCCTTTGCGTCGCAGATAATAGACAGCATATAATTCCAGTGTATCTTTAATATTGATTCCCTTTTTATTATATTGAATTTTTAAAATAAAAAAGAAAGCAAAGTTATTTGCAAGCGAGAATTTGAAATCATTTTATTGCAAACTCAAAGTTTATCGATAAAGCCATTTAATTAAAGGCAGTTTAGTTTTATCATGGTTTTATAAAGAACACTTTAAAACGTTTTGCGAAGCCGGCGTTTGTGGTTGAATTTTACGTTAAATTGAGGCTTATATTACGTATAATAACATACCTAACATATATATGTTGGGAAATTGATAATTTTGTAATTAAAAGTGATATTTTTAGGCGATTTTTCATTTGTAAGAATATTCTTAAAGACTTACTTTAGATACTTCATGTTCGGAAAATACAATGGTTTTGTCAGCAAGGCGAGGGGTTCTGCATGCATGTATTTTCTAAGCTAGTTTATGAAAGATCTTAAAAGATTGCAATTATTGCTACGCATTGCTGAGGAAAAATGCAACTGACCAATCAGTTACGATTTTGGCCGAAAGCTGTACTGTGATTGGCTGAAACGAGCGCTAGTTAATTATTAAAATTCATTACTGTATATTTAATTGAATTAGTAATGACCAATATTTTACAAGATTCCACCCGCCCTGCAGAATTTGTGTGTGACCCTTCCATGGTGCAGCAGGCGGTATCTTGTACGATCGACATCAGTTGTAGCAATAGTCTCACCTGCACTAGTACATGATGCATTGACAATTTTGTCCAGTATACTATCGAGGTCAGTAAATTCCGTTTTAAACACGAAGTTCGACCAATCTGTGAGGTCGTCATAAAATTTGTCGATAGTGCCTTCTCGTCCGGCAGCCAATCCTACCACGGTAATATTCTTTTTCTTGAGTTCCACAGCATAATGAGTAGCCATTTTTGTTTCCGATCTGAAGCCGAAACTGTCTTCATTATCCGGTTCTCGAAGTCGCCTAATAGGTTCTCCATCCGTGAATAAAACCACCACATCGCCTATCGTTGGTCGGTAGTTGTATGGGCTTTTGTCAGAAAACAGCTGGAAATATGAAATATGTTGTAATGTTCAGTCGCACAAAATTTGTTGTATTGAATCCAGCAATTCATTCAGATGTTATGTACTGTATGGGCAATCTTTCCTGTTTTTTTCTTCTGCAACATGTCCAGGAAACAATGTTTCCTGCTATGCCCAATTTCCCGAAAACATGGTTGGAAACAATGGTTGCTGGTTTCTCACGTCTAGGAAACATTGTTTGGAAAAATTGTTCCCTCTTTTGCTCATCTGCGGGAAAAATGTTTCCTCAATTTCAGGACACATGGCTGGAAGTTGTTCTGAGTTTTCCTTGGTCTTGAAAGATACTTAATTATTCTACAAGCTTGGACATAGCCCTTGAGACCATTCCAGCCAATATTGCAAAGTAAATGAACATTTTACAAAACGAACTTTGTCACCCCCCCTTCAATGTTGTAAACAACGCCAAAACAACTTTTGGTAATTTACCATACTACAAGCTCGACATTGAGTTTGGGGGGGGGGGCGGGGGACTCAACATGAAGTTTATCATAGGGGGTATGAGAATTTTGTATACAGGGAAAGTTATGTCAAAGATTATGGTTATAATTACCTCATTTGCCGTCTTTAAAGCAATGCCTGTTCTTGTGCCATCTCCCTTCAGAAGAGTGTAGTTCATCGCATCGACCTGAGCCAGGATATCATCTTCATTTGGATGGTCTGAAACGTCCCACAACAGCCTAGTTTGGGCCTGTGTGCTGAACGAAACAACGCCAATATTGGTACCCCCTTCTCCTACGTTTAGTCGTGGACTTTTTATAAGTTTTCTGATAAAAGGTCTTATTTTATCTGTGAAGGCTCCTATGCCAATGGAATACGAGTTATCCCAGAGAATTAGAATATCCTTGATGCAATCTACAAACACAATTTGTATACTTAGTTCCTGTTCGTGTGATCGCCGAGAGGTCTTGCCTAGCGGGAAGGGTATTTCCGTGTATCCATGAGGAGTTTTTTATTTTACTTGCGGAGATGAAATTACAATTTTGTTCTATAATTGTATGTATGTATGTAAACTTTATTTAATGACGCTAGCCTTGTCAGCAGCAATAGTTGACTTCCTCAAGGGGGTCACTAGCACAAGAAAAGATATTTACAAAGAGAGAAAAATATAAATATAATTATAGCTATTTATTATACGGTATAGTAGAGAGTGAGATACTGAAAAATACACAGTGAGATATTTTCCATATCTTCACTAGTGAAGATATCGATCACCTGACTTTTTCTAATTTGCTTTTAAGCGCGAAATTTAACAATTTTTTCCTTGGGACTATATAAAAACAATCATTTTTGTTAAAAACAATATTTTACTCACTCGCTGCGCTCGTTCGTAAAATATTGTTTTCACCACTCGAAGGTAAAAATCATATCTTCGCGCCGCCATGTAAAATCCTTTATTTATACAAGAGATTTATAAAAGGAAATTAATTTGGTGTGACCCGGCCGTATATTAAGATCCATAGTTGTTTTTATCTAACAATAGGCAATTCCAGCTTTTAGTTTATGCGTGCAGGGGGGGGGGGGATTGGAAGTAAGGTATCATAGTGCTGATTATGCTGAGAAAATAAAAATATGGTGACCGTGTGACAGCTTATACTTGTAAATATTAAAATAGTTGGGTTGTTTCGGAAGTTTTTATGAAATTTTTCAGCATAATCAGCAATATGATACCTTACTTCCTGTCCTAAAAGCTGGAATTGCCTATTAAATTGTTTTACAAGTTTTTGAAAGAGTAAATTGATTGTGCTTCCTTAGCTCCCGCGCTAGACGACACGCGATGGAGAAAAACGCTTATCCCCTACATACCTGGTACAAATTCTTCAGGTTGCGGTGTAGCCGTTGCCGGTATCCCTCGAACATATTGATCAAATTCTGTAAAGAGGATGTAAAAAATAAATATATTATTCAACCCCGGATCAAACGAGAATGAGAGTTGGCAATCACGCGACCTTGATTAGCTGTTCTTAATGTTTTCCCAACACTATACCATATCAAACCTTTATTTTGTTAATCTAGAATGCCAACTCTCATGAACTCTCATCCTCGCGTTTGACGTTAGTTATTAAAATATTATTATTACAACATATACCTTCTAACTCTTCTAACTCGTCATAAAGTCCACGAGCTGAACTGCCATGTATGCAAAACGTTAGTACTATAAGCAATGAAAACATCTTCATACTTCGTTCGAGATGTGTTTCTTTTAAGTCCCACCCCGCAAATGACAAACGGATATAAATTACCATCCCCCTTTATATTGTTCCTAAAATTTGAATCAGGTATACAAATATTTTCATATTTTGGAAATTTTTACCGTTATTTTTCGTTATACGTAACGATTAACTGACGAATGTATAAGTCAAGTGTTTACACTTAAAATAACAAGTATTGTTGGCTTCGCGAATTTAACTCGTGCGTTCAAGAGTCCTATATATGGTGAAGTGGCATGTGATATATTCGCAAAATTATTTAGTTCAGTGATGGTGCCGGACCAATGGATGATTGCAAAGTTAGGCTGTGCTGCGCTGTATACCTGTTATTGAAGCGTCTGGTCTGCCAGTAAACGACCGCGGATCTTTGAAAAAGTAGTATCTAGTTTAATATCTTTTATACTTAAAAACCCGAGTAGCGAGAAATATCTTCGAAGTCACACACAAATTTGGCAGTATATAGAACACAAATATGAAAATTGACATGTGCCAATATATACATTCCGTCAAGCACGCTATATATGGTTAATTGCTATGTCGCAATATATCTAGAAGACAATATGCCGTTATGTTAAGTGAACGTGAAATGATGCTTGTGATGTTACTGTGAAATGTTGAAATGCTAAGATATTGCAATAAAAATAACTTATATATAGGCCTTTCCAAGGTTTCTGCCGCCATATTGCAGGGGGTGCAAAAACATTGGGGCGAGCGCGCGGCCTCCAATGGCGCCCATACTATTTCCTATTGAGTGAGTGAAAATTACCTTTTAACATTTTGTCCTTTTTCTCAAAAAATTTCTATACAAGCATATCCAATTTTTATTTTTGGATAATCGCTGGGTTTTTTCTGATATGTGGCTGAGATTTCTTACTAATCGAAGGACAGGAAGTAATAAAAAACGGCGGCTTTTGTTGCACACCTTGACCGACGTTTGAGCGATGATTCTTGTACAAATATACAAATATAAACAGCAATAATGGCGGACACCAAAGGACTCACACACTTAATGGACAAATATTCTTCCAAAGATCGGTTAAACAAACGAAATAACAAGAATCATCGCTCAAACATCGGTCAAGTTGTGCAACAAAAGCCGCCGTTTTTTATTACTTCCTGTCCTTCGATTAGTAAGAAATCTCAGCCACATATCAGAAAAAACCCAGCGATTATCCAAAAATAAAAGTTGGATATGCTTGTATAGTAATTTTTGAGAATAAGGACAAAATGTCAAAAGGTAATTTTCACTCACTCAATAGGAAATAGTATGGGCGCCATTGGTGGCCGCGCGCTTGCCCCAATGTTTTTGCACCCCCTGCAATATGGCGGCAGAAACCTTGGAAAGGCCTATTGCATGTGTTTACTATAAATCTAAAGTTTGTATCCGAAAAAGTTTAAAACGAGTTCTGGTACGTAATGCATTAATTAATTAATTAATTAATTAATTAATTAATTAATTAATTAATTTATTTATTTTAGTATTTATTAATTTTACAACCTTTAAGATACATGAACAAATATAGATAATAAATTTAAGAATGTACACATAGACGAAGGAAAAATGAGGTTGAAGGTATAGTCAGCAGGACAACAATCCCATATTAAGACCAACAACCCATGCAAAGAAAGACAATAGTTACAACATATATTTAAAGATACAAACACACGTTTACACATGAGCAACAAGTTGGGTTGTATAGGGACGGCAGTTGGAACAATAATCTTCCAAGTGCGCATTCTATTGACGTCGAAAGTAGATTCAAGTTTGGAAAGGTACAGATTATACAGATTGTGTTTGAAAGAAAAAATAGAGATATACATTTACTAACATGAGCGGGAAGACTTGCAAAGAAAAACAATCCAGTTCTAAAACGTGTCTCTAAAAAGAGAAGTTATGGAAAGATTTTAATAACCATTTACAATGCTTTAAGACGGCCATATTTTAATATTTTTCTCCCCTTTGGGGGAATTGTGGCAAGCTGCTTTATGATAAACTTCAAACTTTCAAAAACGAACTGCTAGAATTATTATGATAGAGCCACTTATGAAATCAGATCTGCTGACATACTTGAATCTCTTTCATGGAAATTTGCATGTCAGGCATGACTATTAACCAAATCTGTATTTTTGTATAAATTCATAAATGGTTATGGCAGCCCTAAATTTGAGACAATCCTTCCGAGAGGATGCGTTCAATCTGATTATGATCTTCGAAATCATGCATGCTACTGATTTAACAATATAACACCAAAACCTAAAAGAGAATTCATGAAGTATAGTTTTTAATACAGTTGATCGAGTCATGCTATCGAGTCTCCCTAACAAGCCTAAATTTGCAGGATCTATTCACTTCTGCCTCTTAGAAAGAGCGTAAAGAGGTTTCTAGTCCAATACTAATGACTATTGGGATGTTCGTTAATGAGGTTACGGTTGATTTTTCGTGTCTGTTAAATATTTAATTAAACATCATTACAGTATAAGAGGTTATGCATAAAGATGAAGGACGATTGGTAACTAATCGTTCCGTGGGATGAATAGCTTCTAATCGTCCCTCATGTTTTAGCAATGAGGTAAATTAGTCATTAATCGTCCCTCGCGAAACTAGGATTTCGAGGCAGCTATTATATTATAAGTAACAATGTCTTATATGCAAATTATTCTCACTAAGATGCCAAATTCTTGTACAGCTATAGGGTGTATCAAAAAAATGTACACCCTTTCAAATTCAAATTAGCCATAACCTTTTAAATATTCGTTGCTCTGCAGTAAGCTGGCCCATTTTATATCTTATGCAGACTTGAATAATGCTTAATTTAAACATTTTTTTTGTGTTGTGTATTTGTTCATACAAATAGTGGTTATCCTAAATTCCCATGTGCAGAAGACCTTGTGTTTTCACGCATTCATTAATTCGAGAAATTATACGGCTGTCAAATTACTACAATAGATTACGGTTAATTTGAAAGGGTGTACATTTTTTTATACACCCTGTAGAGATAACTGATTCAACTTTGCCAACATATACTTAACAAATAGATAAGATTTTGCCGTTGTCTGTTCAGTTATAGCTAGATCTTCAGTATGATATCATAACGTGGGAAGAACAAAAAAGTGGCGGCTCGTGCGCCGCCGAAGCGAGTGTGTCGCTCTTTTGTTTTTCCCACATTATAATGTCATACTGTGTATCTATAACTGAACAGACAATGGCAAAATCTTATCTATTTGTTTTATATAATAAAAAGAAAACCCCCATTGATTAAATAGGTAAATAGCGTATTTTTTATCCACCCAAACATTTGGAAATTTGAAAAAGTCTAAATTTTACAAATATCACGCGTACATGGTCTATACGAATAAGGGAATGCTACTGGCTACCTTAATTGTGATGTAATTCCGCGCGTCTGTCCTCTAATAGATCATAAAACTGTGAAAATGTTTTTTAGATGACAATGCATTTCTGCAGTTCTAGCTGGTTGCATGCTACGGGCTACGTCACTCACTGCATACACCGTTAAGTTATATTTAGTATAGCTATGTAGATTCAAGTTTTGTTATGATTTTAGCGTAACATATTTCAAATATTTTAGTAGAATTCGGACATTAAAGAAAGAACACTCATTCTGATGATTTAATAATTGAAAATGGAAAAAATAACTTCATTTATAATTTTTTAAATAAATGAAAAATACTTTATGTCAAAAATATTCTCATATTTCAAAATCGTAAAAGAATCAATGACCCTAAGACCCACTGATTCTTCCTATTTACGTAGTTTTATACCTTTATTACCATACTTGTTTTAACATAATATTAGCTACATTTCACCTATTTTACCTCATTTGTACATGTTGAGGAGTGGTCGAAAGCTCGTTTGATCAGTAATGTGTCAGAAAACCAAATTCATGAATTTGAATTTTATGTACAATGGCAATGCAATCATAAAAAATATGGTGTGAAATTTCACACTCAATCAGTCTTTCAGCAGTAATAGACATAGTAAAGTATAGTCGCATTCCTTAATATTTTGATTCGAGGGCTAAGGACTTTGTCAGACACTTCAGCAGTAATAGGCATAGTGAAGTATAGTCGCATTCCTTAATATTTTGATGAAAGCAAGACTATACAACAATGTAGCATCAATAGGAATTTATTTTTGTTAATGGAAAAAATCTATTCTCTACAAACATGATCAATATGATAACACTAATGTATGATCATTCTTGTAATGGATACAAATAGCATACTGCTGTTATTCTCTACGTATCTACTACAAGAAGTTCCTTGAAAGGTACAAGAATTGTTGTCTCAAGGGCAGTTCCCTCCAATAGGCACAAGAATGGCTCTTTCATTGTTGCAGCATTTCTTCGTACGAGTATTGTAGTACCTCATGCCACAACACTGGTAGCCATATTTTTTCGTCTCAATTTTACCACAGCAGCAATCTTCTTTAGTCGGGTCATAAACCGTTTCACCGCAAAGTTCTCCTAAAATGAAAGGAATCAGGAGACGTTGGTGAGACATGTAATTGCAATCCGTGCTCGATGTCGTGCTTTGTGTCTGAATTACCTGAGAAGATATCTCAAACATGGGGATCCAGTGTAGGTATAGTGTTCTTCAATAAGCTTTTGTGGTTTGGGTACAAACTACCTGTTAAAATCACTTCAAGGTTTGCAGCGAAAGCCTTTTGGCATGAGGATATTAACCTATCAATCATTGAGGAGGGGCCTTTCCCATATATAAAAGTGATTTTTCAAACTTTGTGAAAATGCTTGAAAAGCCTCACAATTAATAAAATATCTTTAATGTATATATTCTTGTAACATTAACCTAACTTATACCAATCAACAGACAATTTTAGAAAATTTTTAAAAATCTCTATCTGGTGGATAAGCGTTATAGAATGAACGTTTAACATACCTGTGACGACAATATTCACGTGACATTTTATGTTGAAACTGTGTATTTCGGGGATGCTGTAGGTATAGGTGTATGTGCGCGCATAAGTACCAACAGAGAGCGATTCGCTAGTTTTCGGATTGTCTGGGCTTTGCGTGGTCGGACAATTGGGTTCAGGTTCCTGCCAACTCACATCGACTGTCGTATCACCGGGTTCGACTTTGGCTTCCACTGTTTGGGTGCTGGGACATTCGCAACCTAAATGGTGAAATTCAACAAATAAAACACACCAATCGTTTATGTTTTGTTGCCTGAATTTCATTGTGTTAACAGGTGACCTCAAAACTAGAACTATATAGATACAGTAAAACTCATAACGGGTACTTACAAAGAAATCAGGCTGAACTGGTTCTTATTTCTAGTCAAAAACAATTGTTCCTGGTTTAGAGTGTTAAATCTTTTATTGTTTTCCATGAAACTAGTTTTGATAAAATAAATGCATGCATAATGTGCATGAAAGACATAATTCACGCTAGCAAGGTTACAGTATTTTATTTTTGATTCTTCCTAGTACCTGCTTACTATAATTCAGCTAAATAGAAACCAGTTTCATTTGTCAGCCCGAAGTGGTTCTTGTATTTTGGATGCTTAATTGCCCAAATTTCAGACTAGTGGATGTTAACACACTGGTTCTTTTATTCAGGACTATACTGCAACACATCTACTGCGCATAAATGAAGCCAATGGCGTCCAAAAGCGTACATCAGCGTTAACCCCCTCCCTCCTCCCTCCCAGCGTACGCTTGAGAAAATGGTGATAATTATGGATGTCGATAATTGGTGAATTATTAATTACTTAATTTTTACGGAAAACAAAAAAAAAGGTTTGCGGGACATAGGGTCTCGCAGGGATTTTAGGGAACAAGGAAACAAGGTAACATGTAAGCTTGAGATACAAGGAAACATGGTGCAATATTTTTTATGGGAGCCAGGGAACAAAGGAAAACTTGTCAAGTGAACATGGGGAACACTGCCCCCCCCCCCCTATGATACCTTCACCAATGTCGGAAATATCAATACGTCCATCTTAAGTTTTCATTGTGCACTGATGTTTCAAATTACAAAGAATATGAAATAAAATTTAAAAATATTTTGTGGAAGAAATAGAAATAAAAGAAATGGAAAAACGTTTTCTGCATTATTGTGATTGGCTTCAAAATATTACGTCGCTAAGATGGCGTCATCTGTTCCATAGAGATTATAAAAGAATAGAGTGGGCATTGCGGGAAAGTCGAGGGACAATTATTGAAGCTGCCTAATGGGGGCAAATAACGCTCTATGATTGGCTAAAATCTCGCTGCCCGGATGTAAATTCTCATTCCTGGATGCAAAGCCGCGAACGTTAACGAGGAGCGGGAAATTACGAAAATAATACAACTTTGAAAACATCAATTTTTCCCAGTTTTAGCATAGTTCAAGCAAGGAGTAAAAGCTCAAAATTAACAAGAGTACCTGGACTTTAATGCGAAACGGAACGGTAAAGTGATTTTTTTCGATGTTGAAGAGCGGTGTTTTCTTCGTGGCTTCGGCACGTCCAAATTTTTATCATTTTCCACGATATCAACCGGAAATCCCTCAATGTTTCGCCATAAATAAATGTAAAGCAGTCAGTCTGTAAAGCAGTAAGTCTTATAATCTCTATGATCTGTCCTGTGATGGCTGTCGACCAATGAAAAGGCAGATTGAACTTAAAGATTATTATATAAATGTTATTTGATTACATTTACTTACGGACAACAGTGAAATTGACCTGGCAACTCAAAACTTTTGGCTTGCCAGCATTGTTGTAGGAGAATGGATAAGTAATTACGTGTTTGCCCAGGGAATATCTTCCTCCAGATATGGCACCGGATGGATGGACCGGGCCTGGCGTAGGAACAACATCGTTGGTGCAGGCTACTTCTTGTTTTGGCCAACTGACCTTTCCTGTTTGTTGACCTGGTTCAGCATATGCAGTAAATGGTGTCACAGGTTTGGTGCAACGGCATACGACTGGAGATAAAATAAAAATGGTGCTCATGTTAATATTGGAAATCTAGAGGTCATTCGAAAACTGCGCTCCTCCGCCAGCTAATGTCAACTACGAATTCATGCTTGAACAAAAAAACATGTCCTTGATTGCTCGTTCCTTTTTTGCGCCTGAAAAACAAGACAAATCTTGGCGCCAAGATTTGGTCGACTTGACATTGGGTATTAAACTGTTTGATCGTTTTTTTTTGTCATCCTGTTGACAGACGAAACAGAAACACACCAACCGATGTGAATACATAACCTTTTGGCAGGGTTTGACTGGTAATAGAAAACATAACGACATTTAATTTAATAGAATGAGACAGGCAACTTCCGTAACAAGGACAATCACGCGATATAGACCAAGAAAAGTACACACTAACATAAAGAATTATAAAGGTGATGTTTAGATGTTTTGACACTGGAGAAAGTGTTTGGAGGAGGTATTTTGCAAACACTGTTCCATAATTTTACTATCCTGTTGAAAAAAGAATCCTGATATTTAGTAGTGTTACATAAAGGAGTCTTGAGCGTCAGATTCGCATTCAGAGTAAGTTGGGAACGGATGCGGGTGACAAAAGAGACATGGTCGTGCTATGATGCACAAGAGGATTCAAAGAACACGACTGTAATTGGCCCACTGTAATTGGTGTTAAGCTGTTGTGGTGTCCCAGCTTCTTTAATGCAATTATTGTATGATGTTTGGAAGCGAAGCACAATAAATAAAAGAGCCTAATGTGTTTAGTTTCTTATATTGGATTCAATTCCAGAATTCTTTGCCGGCGGATAGTTTCAGTTTGTTTTTGTTTTGAAAACAGTGTGCATGCATTATACGCTTGGCTATAATGTGCATGGATATTGTAAGTTACTTAGACTAAAATCATCGACTTTTCTAAAAACTGGAACTTAGTGCTGTAGAAAAAAGCACTACGCATCAAGAGACGTAAGGCTGTGTGAAATAACGGACTAAAAGCTAACAGAGAGTTCCAGTTGTTAAGTGAACTACCGCTCAACAGAAGAAAAGCATTGATGAAGTTGAACCACATAGTAAATACATATACAGTGCTGTAACTGACCGTTGTAAACACTGCGGAAGCTTATGTTTTCATGTATCCAATTTTTTTCAGGCGACCGGGCAAAAAATGATCAACTGCGCGTGCTCGGCAAGTTTTAAAGGGGCGAGCCGCTATCCAATCAGATGCATGCATCTAGTAACTTGCCGAGCACGCGCACAAGAAAAGTGGGTACACTAGTTACAACTCTGTATATGTATGTACTCTGTGGTTGAACGTTAATACGCTTTGATTGCACACGCAAGCTAGCTTAGTTTAAATGCGTGCACTTTTAAAGTTACACCACAGACTGAGGAGATACTATACAGAGAACCGACTCAGCCAAAAATTCGTAACCGCCGCCACGCCATGATTCGCAATGCCAATGATTCGCCATGAAAATCTTAGCCAGTGTGCTTGCGAGAGGCATTTATCCCCTGAACGTCCACCATTTTTAATGTGTTTTTTTAGGGGGGATGAATGCCTCTCTAACCGCACTGACTAGGAACATGGCGCCATGACGACAGCATTGTAAAGGTTGCGCTAAAATCGTAGACGCCGACATACATGCAAGAGGTCAGATTTCTTAAGTGTTTATTCTCTCGCTATACGCTGAAGATGTATCGGAATAACCTTAGTTTTGGATTCATTTCCTTAAACGTAACCAGAGAAACCGCCCAACATGGCTCGTGTATCAGCACTTACCTGCAGGTAAGCCGCACAAAGGACCCACCAGTTTATTCACGACATCGTTCAGCTCCGTTAATTCTGCTTTGAAAACGTAGTCTTCTTCTGGTGGTGATGACCATTTGACAATGTAAGAATAGAATTTATTAATATTCTCTTCTTTACCAACTGCCAAGCCGATAATTTTCACATTCTTGTTCTTCAGTTTTGCCGAAAACTTGTTAGCCACTGGTATTTGATTTTTTCTGCCTGCACTTGGGTTTGGTTTTCCATCGGTGAACAACATAACAACGTCGTCTACTCCAGCACGGTGATTTAATGGACTTGCTGACTTAAATGTCTTTAAAAACAAGAGGATTGTTTGGTTTAAATGATTGATGGTCGATTGATTAATAAGTATTTTATTATACAGTGTGTATAACAAGTGCACAGTTCTAAAATGTCTACTGTAACTGCAATAAACTGAAAAATGCGCAAAATTTGTGACAACATTATGTTAGTATGGGGAGTTTGAGGTCTTCTGGTATCTCTATCACAAAGTTATTCTGAAAAGTAAATTTTCGGTGTTTTATAAATTATGAATTACCGTCGATTGCAACTAAGCGGAAACATGTCATGAGAAAATGCGTCCAATTGGCTGTCAAACATGATTTGTTTGGATTTCAAACATCGCATGATTTTACTGCAAACATTTACGTTTCAACTGTCAACTGTCAATATTCCAAATTTAGAAACACATTCATATTGGGCGGGGATTAGCTTGCAAACACTAAATCCGTGATTAAATTCGTCTGAATTAAATTGGACGTGTGAAACAGGCCTTAGTGAAGTTCTAACATGCTGTAAATTTGCGAGTTTTGCGTTTATAGTGGACAAATCAGTATTGTTTGCAATGTTTGTACTAACTTTGTTACGTTTTCGCGGGAAAAATAATTATAAACCGTCAAAAAGTCCAAACATGTTATGTTTCATGTCCAATTAGAGCGCGTTTTCGCATGACGTGTTTCCGCTTAGTTGCAATCGACGGTATAAAGTACCAGACAATTTAAAACTTGAGCTTTTTTCCCATAGTAGCCTTTTACGCATAATTAATTTTATCATTTGTGCGACTGGTTATATTTGCATGATTGATTTTATGCATGATTAATTTCTCGCACAATTTTTACAAAAGCTTAAAGAGGCTGTCAAGTCCGTTCTGCTCATGCGCGTGTTTTGTTTACATTTTTGTTTCAAACAATAGATAATTAATTAAAATTCCCATCTGTGGGCCCACAAGTTAGCTCATTACGCATTCAGAATATATCACGAAGGGGAAATTGAACTACTAAAGCAAAAAGTTAGCCCCAAAACAACAAATTTTAAATCCAAAACGCTAAGAAGTACTTCTTACAGAGGTATGGACAAAATTTAATGAAAATTTGTATACATTTAGCTCAAGCCTTTGTATAAAGATGTGTTTGTTAACGGCCGTCAACATTTTCAATTTTAAATTCGTCATTTTAAAGCTAAATGTGTACGAATTTCAATCAAATGTTGTCCATACCTTTGTAAGAAGTGCTTCTTAGCGTTTTGGATTTAAAATTTGTTGTTTTGGGGCTAAATTTTTTATTTAGTAGTTCAATTTCTCCTTCGTGATATATTCTGAATGCGTAATGAGCTAACTTGTGGGCCCACAAAAAATGTAAACAAAACAGACGCATGAGCAGAACGGACTTGACAGCCTCTTTAATTAAAAATTATGCGCAAAAGCCTAAAACAATTATGGCAAAAAAATCCAAGTTTTAGTGGTCGCGCGTTCGACTCAATGTACATCAAATTGTCTGGTACTTTGATAGTTCATAAAACACCCTCTAAATTTGCATCTTGCATGTGAATTCAAATTGCATTTTAAACCTACCATTTTTGTGCGCAAGCCATTTTTAAAGTGGTTTCCAAAACAGCCTCCGGAAAATTTACTTTTCTGAATAATTTGTAATAGAGATAGCAGAAGACCCCAAACTACCCACACTAACATATAAAGTTTTCAAAAGATTCGAAATTTTCGATTTAGCGGAAATTTTCTGTGCACTTTAAGGCCCGTTTACACTCAATCTCGTACCCAGAGCAATGTCTGTGCGCGGGCGAGGGAGCCGTTGCTCTGGGTACGAGATTTGTTTACACTTGCAATTTTTGCTGCGATTTTAGGTGCGATTTTCTCCTGCTGATGTATGTGAACGAGTGGATGAGTTAGGAATGTTTACATGAGGGTGCATCAATGTGACATACATACTCAGAACACTCGTAACTTATTTACTCGTTCACATCCATCAGAAGAACAAAATCGCACTAGAAATCGCAATAATATGTAGAAATCGAATGTAGAAATCTGAGGATTGATAGGGATACAGCTACCTGAAAAATACAAGCAGAACGTCGACGTTTCGAGCGAAAGCGCTTGCACTCCACGCCGGATATATCCGGCGTGAGGTTACAAAATTGTTGGCGCAATGGCGTGAGATCACTCGAAAACAAGTGATTAGCTTGTGCTTGATTTCATGGCCACATGTAAATTGACAGACAGTATAACTACACAAATATGATGTTGACATGCAGTACATATTAAAAACACACCATATTGGCTATTTTCAAAACATGGATTTAAGTCCCCAAAATTGAAAATTGGCGCAAAGGATCGTACATGTTGGCGTATCTCCGGCGTAGAGTTTACATGGAATTCACCCTGGGCCCTTCGTAGGGAAGTTAGTAAAAGGGCCTTCGCTCGAAATGTCGTAGTTCTCCTTGTATTTTGCAGGTAGTTGCAACCCTATCAATCCGCAGCTTTCTTATCATCGTCACCACCTACATTGGCACAGACAGTTAGAAAAATGTAATCTGGCCAAGCAACATGGTTTGGGTTGACTTACATCAGTGCTTGCAAGCTCGAATGCCTTTCCAGTGTAGGTCTGATCGCCCATCAGATCATTCCTATAGTCTAACGTTTTCAGCCAACTTGTCAACTCATCTGCCTCTGTTTTCTCCCCAACTTTCAACAATGGTTTAGTTTTGTCTTCTGTGGAGAATGTGGTAAAACCAATATGCGTTCCCTCTTTAGCCACGTTCAGCTTGGTGTTGGTGACTAGTTGTGTTAGGAAAGGTATTACTTTGTCTTTGAAATTGTTTTCGCCAATAGACGCAGAATTGTCCCAGAGAATGAGGATATCTTTTTTGCATTCTGAAATTATATATGCCATATACATTTTTTAGCATCATGTATGGAATATAATTGTAAGTAAGTGGGGATGTGCTGATAATCGACGTCCTTACTTGCAGCTGTGAACTAAGTTGAATTGCGAAGGACGCCGCTCAAACCTGATCGGATTGAAGGCTTTCTGCCAGCCACCTTATTACTCGATATCTGATTAAGGAAGGGCCAATAGACAATTCCCATTATAGACTAATTTTAAAACTAGGCAAGGAGATGCAAATAAATCACCACGGCTAGAAAGAGCATACTAAAATTAGTAAAATTACAAAATTTGGTTGCGAAATGTTGTAAAATGAGGAAAATATAGCCTTGCAAAGTTCGCAAATTTTGTATACTTTTGTATTGCGTGCGACCATTTTCGGTCTAAATGTGGTAGGAATGTGGTAGGAATTTCCGCAAGCAATACAAAAGTATACAAAATTTGCGAACTTTGTAAGGCTATATTTTCCTCGTTTTACAACATTTCGCAACCAAACTTTGTAATTGTACTAATTTTAGTATGTTCTTTCTAGCTGTGGTGATTTATTTGAGTCTCCTCGCCTAATTTTAAAATTAGTCTATAATGGGAATTGTCAATTAGGGGCTAATCCTTTGTCTTTGAAATTGTTTTTACCAATAGATGCAGAATATTGTCCCATGCATAGAATGAGGATATCTTTTTTTGCAGTCTGAAATTATATAATACGATATACACTTATTTTTTATGTATATCGTATTTGCATCATGCATGGCATGTGATTGTGAATAAGTAAGTGGGATGTGCTATAATAATCGTCCTTATATACTTGCAGCTGAGAGCTAAGAAATTGCGAAGGACGCAGCTCAACCTGATCGAGTTGGCTCATTCTAAGGTTGCCTCTGCCAGCCACCTTATTACTGGTGTCTGATCACGGTGCACAGCTACAGTACGTGGAAGGGGCAATTAGTGGCTAATCACAACCACCCTGAAAGGCTGCTGGGAATCGCTATGAACATTCATTAATTCAGTTTTAGAGATTCCCAGCAAGCATTTCGCGCTCGTATTCGACTTTCCCGCTTTGCTCCGGGACAACCTTAATTGAAATAGCTATATACGTTTTCCTTATCAGAAAGATCAGATGCCAGGTCTCCATCTGTCAAACTACATGCACCTTTCTTGTTACTTCGAACAAAAACGGCCAACTACGATATACGATTAAAGCTATACGTTTACACGCTGCGATTTGTCGGGCCGATTTTGGTAAATAATCGATGCCCCCTCTTCGACATTTAGCGATTTAAACGTTCAGTTGAAGCTGTCCGCTCTCTCGTCTGTTTATATTACAGTTTTCTGCGTGCGAAAAGTTTTCAACAATTTTACAACGGAAGAAAAATCGTCGAATCGTGAGAAAAATCTGTGTTTTGTTACAGATTTTTCTCCCGATTTTGTGAATCGCAAGGTGCTGACGCGAGTACTCACGACAGGTTATTTACATACAGCGAGCAAAATCGGCCCGACAAATCGCAGCGTGTAAACGTACCTTAAGAATACTGCAAAGAATCCCGGAGTATTTTGACTGAAAAACTTGAGTAAAATCATCTACCCAAGACATAAAAGTTGTGAAACTGAATGCCATGCTATATTTTAACAGAAAAAATTAATTTCAGTGCACTGAGAATCTTAATACATTTAGGAATATTTAAAATACTCATTTATAATTCATAAACCTTGTGGCAAATCATGTCAACCATAATATGTCACGTGGAGTGACTTTATATCTGATAAAGCATGTGGCATTATATAATTGTTCATCCTTATTAGTATGATTATATATAATGATTCATCCTGATTAGTATTCTTTTGTAGTCGTATTTTAAGCTATTCAAAACACTCGTGTTTTAACTAGTACATATAGCATAAAACTAACGTAGGTAATATGCATCAGGGGTCCTATCCTAAGGTAAATACAGATGCAAAAAAGGGCACTATCTGCGGGATCCATGGTCTCCTAGAAAATTTTGAAAATCAAGTGTCCCAAGTTTGGCTAAAAATGCATTTGTGATACAACATTTATTACGTGAACATTCTGTAGTCTATACATTTATACATACAGTATTGCACTATTCTTTCTATTGACTATTCTTTCTATTGATTTCCTCTAAATCTCTCCTTTTATCTAAATTTTCACAATTATCTTTTTTTTTTCTTGGTGAAATATTGTCTAGGAACGCAATACATTTTCTGGAATCGATGGACCCGTGGTCCGATACTTTTTCCACCCCTGTTGATGAACTTTACCTTAAAGACTAAATAACCGTCCTCGAATATTAAGTTTGTACCAGCTCAAATATACGCGGCAGTATTTATTAGAGTGCCAGTCAGTATATTACTATATGACTGCATGGAAACTCTTGGCCTTATTAAGACTGAGCAAGCTAAATACAAGATTTCCCAAAGTAGTTGAAGTTTATTCAATTCTCTACCATCCGAATTAAAAGATATTGGAAATCACTCAATTAATTCTTATAATAAAAAGAAGCTTAAAACCTACTTTCTTCAATTGAATTATGATGAAGTGTATCACGTTAATAAGTTTATTATTAGCATGACAAAATTACTGGATGCTGATTGGTTGAGAGGAATACAATTATTTCATTAATTGTACTGCAGTACAATTAATGATTTTCCCAAAACAAACAAAATGGCGGAACGGGATTTTAAACACAGATGTGAAATGAAATTGCCGTGAAGGAACTAGATGAAAATACGAACAAAAGCACCAAATTTTGCTTGAACAAAAGAACTAAATGAAAATACAAACAAAAACACCAAATTTTGGTTGAAAGTCTGGCAGAACTGGGCTTTGGCGAGAGAATATGATGTTGACATTGAGAAGTACGTATTCAGTTTTGTCATGCTAATAATAAACAAGTAATCATGCGATGTTGCTCGTACAATTAGGGATTAATAGTACTCGTGATGTTTGGAAATTTTCCAAATTGGACTCGCCCCGGCGGCTCGTCCAATTTTGGCAAAATTTCCAAACATCACTCGTACTATTAATCCCTAATTGTACTCGCCATCGCATGATTACCTATACTAATTCCGCTGTATCGACTGTAATCATATTATTCATTGATGTTACTCTCATTAGGATTTTTCATATTTATAGACATCGAGGGCCATTGGGAAGAACACTATTAAGTAGTCAATGTAATCCCTAATTTAAAAATGAAAATTAAAGTGCACCTAATGATATAATGACTTATTTTAAAGATTTTCGTTTGCTCACTTTGTCTCTGAGTTATTTCAATTTTATTGATATGCAAATGTCCGGAATTTACGTCACATGTGAATAATGGCTGATCAAGAATGTAAGGTATAGTTAATTATTATGAAATAGAAAGGCTAAATGGTGTTTTACATAGGTATATTTAACCCTCCTACAGCTCCGAACTTCATCTTAGTGAATTAAACTCGATAGTGAATACGATATACAGGCTTTTACTTTAAATCATCGTGCATTTGTGACGTAAATTCCGGATATTTGCATACCAGGCAAACTGAAATATTAAGAATGAGATGATAAAAATAATTGGGGTTAGGGGCACTTTAAAGCTCAGCAATGACTTTCAGACAAGACATAACAAAAATATAAAATTTATTGGGCTAACGTTTCGTTGTATCGTAATCCCTCATTAAATAAAGTTTTAATAATAATAATAATAATTGGCATCATATCGTCGAATCATAATTCATTCGTACACTTGAAATAACAAATAAGCAAGATTCCAAAAAAATTGTGTGCAGGGGTCAGTTGTACGAAGGCCGGATTGGGCTATCCACCGGAAAGATGTAAAAGTGATTGAGAAGTGATGGAATTACGAATATGGATCCCACAATTATTAAAAGGAAACTTTAATGCTTATATGCTAACGTTCAGTCCGGGTTTTATATCAGTCATTGCAGTCAACGGCCAATTTGAGAAAGCTTGAAAGAATCACTATTCTGTGAACGCTGGTGAAGACGTCTCAACAGAGAACAGCCAAGTTCCAATCCGTCTAACGCAAAACATATATTTCACAGTGATTTTAGAATACTATGGCTTTCACCTTTCAGCCCTACTAGGAGGGACCGGCCTTCCCAATTGCGTTTATATTGTTAATTTCCAGCCCTACTATACAGGCGAGGTCTCCGGGTAGTCAATAGCGAATTAGATCGTCTCTCTACGAAAGTTAAGTAAGTCTCTCTAAGTAAGTAAGTCTCTCTAAGTAAGTGTCTCTGACTGTGTGAGTCTCTGTAAGTAAGTCTCTCTAAGTACGTCTCTCTAAGTAATTCTCTCTAAGTATATTAACGAGTACTAGCCGACGAAATCCTATGCAATTTAACATGGAATAGAACCCGGTCGAAGAGGCGCCACTAATAACTTTGCACCCAAACGGAAGCATATATACAGCCATTAATTAATCAAATAAGACATACCATCTGCTATTTCGTCATATAGCCTGAAACCTAAGCTGTTATGAGCAAACAGCATCAATAGCATCAACCACTGCAACATCATCTTCAGTATTTCGGCTTCAGTAGTTCTCTTCTCTTGCTTCTTCAAAGATATCTGTTCTTGAGTTCTTCTGTCTTGACAAACGGCTGCAGGGGCTTTATACTGTTTGCCTGCTTCAAAATGACCTGTTTGTTATCCACTAAAATATGACCGTAATTTTCTTTTGACGTTTTGGTATTGTTCGCAGCGGATTTACGCGTTAGCTGACGCGACATGGCCACTTCACAATAAACGTCAAGTGCCGAGAAAATATTTCGATTAAACCAAGGTCCAAAACCATTAAGTTCAGTAATGACCAATCAGAATCCACTGCTCAGATCTAAGAAGCTTCGCGGGGTTCGACAAGCTTCCTCGTGATTTTTTACAGACTGTATTATATACAGTCTTTATACAGACTAGTGTGAGGGCGGCGCTCTTAAAAAATATTTTATTTGTATCTGAATGTTCATTGTTTTTGTGGATGGAAAGTTTGAGTGAAAATTTGTATACAATTTTAGAGCAGCTACGAAAAAAGCAACCATGGACCCCTTCGGCTCGAATAGAACCTGCAGTTCCGGTACAGCACTCCGAGCACTGTGCTACAGCGTGCAGTTGACAAGCATTGTCTGCCTTTACAGTAGAACTGCGCATTTCCACAATATTGGAGAGAGAATTGAATGGGATAGCATTAAAATATACTAATTTCGAAGTTGAAACATCGTAATACAGGAGATAAGGAGGCTGAATAAAGAGTGAGGTGTAACTTAGTATTGAACTATTCTGTCCGTCAAAGGAAATCGACAACGCGAAGGCGACGGCTATTCATACACGGACATTAATCATATAGCGCAAAAGAAATGAATAGTTAAAAGTCTAGCAGGGGTTTTAGACGACGTCCAAGGTCTGTTCACCGTCCGCTAATTTGAGGGCGGTGCTTAATTGGGAATTCGGTGCAGCTCGTAAACGAGTAAATCAGGGAGTAAATTCGGCATTCACAATTTAGTGTCCTGTATACGAATTAAGGAAAAAACAACAAAGCTATTTGGTTTTCGGAGGAAATTATATATTTATAATAATGATAATAATAAGTTTTATTTCAACAGGGTAACACTATCAGTAATTACACTGTTATCATTGTC